AGAAACCCCTGTGCCTCCCCAGACTCTTCCCAGTCTGAGAAATATACTCAGTATATATTCTTTGTGTCTTTTTTTTAAAATGTTTATGAATTAGACACACTCATTCTTCAGGTGAACCTCATCTCCTGCGCTTGTGTTTACTGGCACTTTTGAAGTGAGATCAAAGCAGACTCAAAACGTACTTAGCTTTTATGGAAACGGGGAAAATTAACCTAAAAGCTAATTAATTGTGTGGGGTCCCACAAGAATGAGCTGATCTCTGCAGCAGGTTGCGATTGCTCCAACTTCCATGGCGGGGACGTGTGTCTGGTCAGATGGGCAAGGGCTTTACCATATCTGGTTCAGTGACTGGATAAATAATGCGTCTGCAGCTGAAATAAAAACCCATAATATAGCTCTCTTCAGCGCCTTAGCCACAGCCTAACCTTCCCCGATAGATGTTAAGACGACTTGGTAGTGTTATGAGAAACATCACCTTCCCTAATTGTTCATTGATCTGTGGTTCTGGGCAGAATGATGAAGTTTTCACTGTTATTTTGCTCCGTTTCACTTGGATTCGTTTGACTTGAGCCGAAGGACGATTTATGATGGCAAGGAACAATCTTGTCTTTTACTCCCAAATGACAGGATAATTCTGGCTTTGCTGCTGGGAGCTTAAAACGCTTTACCTGTGCTCAGCTAATTAGTTGTAATTAAGGGAACGGGTTGTCTAGAGCTCGGTTTTACAGTTCATCACCTGAAAAAAGAACCTCTGAAAAGAACCCTCTTATTTTCGGTGTCATTTTGGGACCCCGTTTCTCTGTTCGCCCTGCGCATGCCCACTCGCACCCTCCGAAGCAGCTGCCAAGCACAGCTGAGGGGAGCTGTGGCCGCCATGTTGTGGCAGCCCCCTCAGGCACAGCAGCCACCCAGGGCGGGGCAGCACCTGGAGTTTCGGGACATACGGCCTTGACTGGGTCTGTTGTCATCAAAGAGTAATGTGGTTTTAGGTTTAAAAACAAAAAAATGGCTATTCTGGGGATAGTAGAGGCTGTTAGGAGACTGGTTTATAGGCTATCATGCCTGTTTTTGGGGTGCAGGGCAGTGCCGGGCCTTAGGGACAGCAAGCTGTGGAGCACAAGTACTCATCTCCTCTCCGTAAGAGCTTTTCTCTGGTAAAGATATCAGACTTGAATCCTGTGGCTTGGTGTGGTTTTAAAGCAGCTTGTGAGGCTTTAGATTTGTCAAGGTTTCATACTTCCCTCTCTCCTCCAACTTCTTTTTTAATTCCCTGCTAGATGCATGCCCTTTCTTATTTCAGGATCTGATACTTAACAGGTCCAGTCAGAGGAGCAGACATCTTTGGCTCTTGAAATCTTAGAGGTGTCTCCTCATCTACTTTGCTTTTGAATGGCCAGGCTCGATGAACAGTGTACCTTGTCCCTTTGTGACAGGGAGCCTCTGAGTTTCAGCCTTTTCCTCATGCAAATCTATACGGTCATTTCTGCTGCC